AGTTCAACGACGACCTGAATGAGCTCCTCCTCTCTGCAGTTGAGCTGAGCAATATTCAAGCATGGAAGGGCGAGAAAGTGAACTCACTGGCGGAAGATCTGACGACGAAGGGCGACAAGGAACATGAACGAGCGAGGCCGCTAAAAACCGCACGACAACCTAGATGAACGTCCGTTCGGAAAAGGGAGCGGACAGCCATTTATTAAAAGCCTACATTGCGCATGTCATGCAACTGTCAGTCGCGTCCGTGATAAATTTTCATCAGGTGCGGAAACGGCTATTTGCAAAGGAGGTCATTACTACAGTCATAGCAGGGTCAAGCATGAGTCGAGCATCTCCGTGGAGGTGCTACTACTATGCAAAGGTTTATTGAAAGCCGTTTTCAACGTCTCCAGGGAAGGATCGTATTTCGTCACGTTGTGTAGGGGAAACATTTAGGCTTAGAAAGCTTATGACTACTGGTTTTTCACACTTTAAGTGCACTATGCATCTCAACAATCGGCGGAGCGACAGTTCTCCCTACATCTGTAATTAACTTGGAGCTAAATTATCCCTCCCTCTCCCGCCCTCCGTCCTACGAAAGTTAGGGTCACTTCTCCTAACAGAAAGCGCTCAATAAAGCCATCACGTCCTAAAGACGACAGCCTGACTCCACCTCATCGACTCCCTCTATACGCAAAATCCCTGAGATCGGGTAGGTGCGGCCGCATACTCCAACTTAACCTCAAGATGTGTATGCTTCTAGTGAAATACTTTCGTCTTGACACAACTGTTGTCGTGTCTCTGTCCAACAACAGAACAAGATGGCTGCTGTACCAGACCGGAATATTCCACGAGTAACCAATTCCGTGCCATGTTCAAAGATGGGCCACGGCCTAACTCTGGCTCAGGGATAGGAGTGTACGCTCTAGAAATGACACGCAGGTTCATCCTTCCGTATAAAGAATTGTTGGCATAGTCGGCGACGGAGGGAGGGGGGGGGGCATTCTGCACCTCTGCTACTTCCCGTCGACGTGTCTACCCATTTAGAAAGCCTTTTCGTGAATTGACCAGATTTACCATGGTGGCTCGGTGAGCTTGCTCCAGCTTCACGGGAGTTCACAAGTTTCACAGGAGTGAGGTTGAATCCGGAACTAGTGCATAGGTGAAACTGCAAAATGCCCTCCCCGTCGCCGAACTGCGCCGGAATTTTCTATCATCATCATGAAGAGACACTTCTGAAATTTCGGCTCAGGGAGACCCAAAGTAGTGGAGCAGCAGTCAGGAGTTTCATATCTGGATAGGCCTGGATAGCTCAGAGACTAACCTGAATTTTCCTCGGGGAAGTCTTACTGATGTCATGAATGTTCGGAAGAATGGGACATAGGCTGACCCAGTAACCCATAAGAGAGCCCAAAAGCCCATGTCGTCCGGCGCGATTCTCGGGTAAGTAAATGGGCCACTAAGTGGGAAGTGGGCACGGTGCTGGAGGCGGGCGGTCACTCCCAACGTCACTGGTGAAAGGGCTGCGAGAGGCGTTTGGCCACACCCCATTCAGCCCTTTCACCAATGACGTTGGCAGTAATCGCCCGCCCCCAGCCATCGTACCCATTGCCCTTGAGGGCATATTATTCCGCAATGACCCGGATAAGTGAGAAACCACAACCATTCTGCATTCTTCATAGGTGCATTCTCACGATAAAGAAGGTAGGTCCGCTAACAAGGAAGCTGGATGGTGGTTCTCCGCCCACCCGATTACCACGAAATGTGTTTTTAGGCTTCCGCTCTTTCATATTACCAATGGACTGTAATCCATTGTTCGTAATCGATAAAAGCAATCTAACTATAAGAAATGATTTATTCTAAACAAAAATTCTTCGAGAATTATCAAATTATCACAGATTAATCGAAGCCATATCCACAATTAGGGTCTCAGCGTCCAAACTCTTAACGTAATCCGGAAGATTACTTAAAATTAGGCCAGATGCTTGTTGATGAGATCGTCGAGCAGCATTTCGAGGTTCTCGTTCGTCCCCTTCATGCCAGCGATTACCTGCAAACACATGATAAGTCGTACTGGCATGTTGCCAAGCTTTCAACTACCGTACCTCTTTAGACCACTTTGAAATACTCCTTAACTGTGTCGGTCCAGCCATACTGGTGTTCTGCCGTGCACATATTCGCGTAAATTGTAAAGTTCTGGTCCGCCAAAATGAAGCTGAGTTTTGCCTGAAATACGCGACCCTCGGCACCGCAACGCATTGAGAGGCGTTATGGGACCCGTGACACGAGAGCGTCGTGCAAAACTTCGCGGCCACGCCTTCACAGAAACTTGGAAGACTTGAATTAACAAGATTCCGACTTAAATTTGTGATTAACAGATTCTACTATCGTGGGTTGCTAGAGCATCCTTGACACTCTAGAGCCGGCAGTAGAAGGAGTTTAGGATGTCATTACTTGCGATGATGACCTATTTGAATTATCTTGCGGTCTAATCCGAACGTAGAAGTCAGTGTTCTTATCCTCTCAGACGAATTCTGAAACGTAATTCACGGCTTTCCGTGAGGTAGAAGGCTTAGTTGGCCCGGGCGGGAGCCGATACGAGATTTGACCCATGGACCGTGCGCGTGGTAGGCGTGCTACTTGCTACTACACCTCTGCCTCATGTATAACTTTAAAGGAAGAAAATGGGCACAATTTGGTTTGGTGGGGGCATTTCGCTGGCTCCCATCGATCACTGCCAATGCTTCTTACAAAGAACTGTAAACTCTTGTGAAGCTAAGCAGTAGCACGAGCTTCGCTTACACATGATAAACATCAACAAGTCTAACTAGTGATGAGTGCAATTCAACTAGTTGCAAAATGCCCCCCCCTCCTCCTCCCAAAGCCGTACAGAGCCATAAAAATTATAAGCTTCTACAGATGAGAGAATGCATGAAGCGAGCCTTTGATGGTACGGTCGTGTACTTCGCGCAAAGGCTGAAATCATCTGTAAGATGGCCTCCAGATGTGCTTAGAATGTGGCTCAAAGAACGCCTCAGCTAGCACTCAGCGCTTAGAATGTGGCTCAAAGAACGCCTCAGCTAGCACTCACTCGACTCGTTGTATATGTACTTGAGAACAGATAGCATTCACCTTGACCAGGCATTCAGTTGGGAGAAGTGGAGCCACCAGAACAACCCCCCCCCTACTTGGTGGGATAATCGTTAAAGAAGAAGAGTAAAAGAATAAAATATGAGGTGTTGATCAAGCCTATCTTGAGATAGGCTACACCTTCTGCTTCTCAGAATTGTAGTTGCATTTTGACTGTCTTGGCCTGCACAACGACATGTGGGGCCGCTGATACACAAGCCAGTGTTCTTGTTCTCCTGGACAGTTCCGGCACTAACTAAATGGCCCAGTGACGAAAGGCATGGTCTGCCTGAGTTTGTTAAGATAAGATCTGTACCATCGAGCTCATTTTCGATACCGTATGGGCCAAGCCTAGAGTGAGTAGATCACCAAATCCGCTGAAAACATGTACACAGGGGTAATTCTACATCCTGATTACGAATATGAAATTCATTCTTGGCGCTGGTGTTATGGAGAAGACTACGTATTCGCGCTCTGCTGAGGCTTAGCCCAGAAGATAGTCTCAGTATCCTCCATTAGCCCCAGCTCCAAGAATGAATTTCATATACGTAATAACAATAGGTTAAACTACCTTTGTATACAAGTTTTCAGCGGATTTGGTGTTCTGGGCACTTTATAAATGAGTCCGCAGCCAAAAGTGAGACTGTCCAAACGGTATCAGCTCCAAGCGATTATCACCGAAAGTGCCGCTCTCCTAAAAGAGATACTGATAACTTGAACTGTAGCAAATTTGTTACGCGCGCTCACATCAGAATATCGATATGTTATGTTGCTCGGACGATGTAAAACCGATAAAAGTCCACCCAAAGACAGTCAGTAAATCGAAAACCGATAGACATCATGATGCAAGTAACATCGAGCCACCCAACACCACCAGGAATAATTCTAAGGAGGTTAGGGTCCGGAAACTAACTAAATGCAAAACTAAGGCTAATATTCTGCTTCTTTTTATGACGGCGAACAGCTAAAATTACTTGAAAAATACACAAGTAATAATAACACTGAAGAATCAATGCCTATCACTCAGTAAGAATAGAACATCTAATCCGCACAGTTGCATAGAAGGCGGAGCCAACGAAGAACATTCCAAGCCACCACACTTAGAAATACATAAAATTAAATCAGCAACGTATATACGAAACGATATATACTTAATCATAAAAAGGACACAAGTCTTAAGCATAATGATCAATCCTTGTAGCGCCGCATTCTATATACCTTATCCCCTAGCAGGGGATAAGGCGTGGCCATTCCCGACACACTGGGCACCACCGCACTCCGCCTTAACTAGCTCTCAGACTATTCACTCAATTGGAACAACCGCCTATCTGTTCTTTGATGATACAGAGACGAAGACCCCAAATTCTCTGATCCAAAATGAAAAGCTGTTCTCTAAAAAGCCATGCCCACCACCACGCTTATAGTTGAAGTGCGCCGCAGCCAAAGCCCACTCATCCAACAGGGATTTCTAGATGTACTTCCATTCAAGAGCCCGCTCAGCTCGCCTTACTCTCGAACGCGATGTGGCCTCTACAATGAGCTGCGGGGCAGCGATGTACACCACAGCACGTGCTTTCCTTATCCTCCTAAGAGACGAATCTGATACCTATCCCGGAGATTTTGCAAAGGCTTCGTTAGCTTAGGCGGAGTTTGCATCCAGCGCTCTGCGACCCCACACGCCGTCTCGAATGGTCAAGCGCTCACATCTGTCATCGCCCCCAACTTCCTTCGATTCATATTAAATAAAATTAACATAGCAAAAATAGGTGTTATAAGACCCAATGCCGGCGGTCAAAATTGTACGGCGCTAAACCATGTAAAAAATATACATAAGATCAATGCGGTGGTAAATGTAGGGTAAACATGTAAAAATATACCATCATATGACATTATACCTTGTGCGAGTGTTTTGGAGCGTTTTCGATTTGTGCCTTCTTCCTCACATCCTTTGGGAGCGATTTGTCGTCCGAGCATTCCTTCACGATATCATGTACCTGAACTTATTTGTTAAAAAGTCAGCACCTGAGGAAACACCGTATTTCACCGCTGCACCACATTCTAGCCGGTATTAATCTCCATATCTGGAGGATGGAGGGGTGTGGCTACGTGCTTCATTTCAGGGCGACTACGGCTATGTTTCGGTGGGATGTTGCCGTTTTGGGACAACTGTATTGCCAACACGAAAAGGACGATTGCTGCTCCTAATGGAAATATCCTCCTGAAAACGCATCCCACGCCGTGTTTATATAAAGAGCTGAGCCACGCCCTCTCCATCTCCGGGATGCCTAATGTAAATTCCGAAGATGCGTTTTCAATGTAAATATCTTCATGCAGTCTCCACGAAAGCTTCTGACGAGATTAGAAACGGAACCGCTCCGTGAAAATAAAGGCAAGTGATTTGATAGTTGGCTCAGATTTTTCCCAACGCTTTCAAGCTCTTCAGAACATTAACCAACACTGTTCCGACAGAGCGAAATAGATAAAGGATAAAAAAGGATAAAGTCTTCGCCGTTGATCAATCCCTTTGTGGGATGCGGCACGCATTCTACTTCCATTCAGAATCGTAGTGGCTTATTGAATGCGATGTGGCCTATACAATGACTTGCGGTGGCCAGCCGATGTACAAGTCAGTGTTTTATCCTCCCAGACGAATCTGGTACCAATTTACCGTCCCGGAGGGTAGAAGCGGTTGGCCTGGGCGGGATTCGGGATTCGAGCCCGGGACCGCTCGAGTGGTAAGCGCGCCAGTTGTCATTGCACCACCTTCGCCCCGAAATAGATAGATAGATAAATAGGGTGGGAAGGGAAGGGGGGGGGAGGGGACAGTTTGTTAATGTATAGAGCATAACCTAACGTGGGTCCGCAACTGCAGTAGCGTGCCTCGTTCTTCGCTCAAAGAAGCAAGTCATGCTCCTCGAACGCCCAGCCTGTTCGGCAGCTCTACCGCGTTACAAGAGCCTACTACCTATGAAGAACACAGCGGATATCTCCTCTCCGAGATGAATTTTACGCCCCTAGCTCGTTCGATCAGCTCGTTCCATGGACGTTGATCGGCTTGGGAGGGGCGTTCTGCACTTTCGCTCGCTCCTTTTCTAGTTCCTGTTGAACTACACGTCACACCTAGGTGAGACCTGTAGACTTTTCAGGTGTAAACGAAGCCGCTGGTATAGCATAACATCACAGAAATTCATAGGCGTCCACAAGAGGCATCGGCACTGATCGATGGAAACCAGTAATGCTGCCCCACCAACTAGACCCATGTGATGTTCTGAAGAAGTAGAGTCAATGTTCATTATAAGGAAATTACGGTTATTTTTGCCCCTGCCCTCTTAACCTGTCACAAACCTAACAAGTTCCGCCCAATTTTGTACATAAATGACTTCGAGGAAATAGTGGCCTGGTTCGAAGAATATTAGAGTTATACCTCTTGTCCGAATTCCTCCTTGATCTCTTCGAACGTCGTTTTCGTGTCTTCAACGGTATCATGCAGCATAGCTGCAGCGAGTGTCACCGCATCGAAAACCTTCGCTTCGTTCGTTAAAATATAGGCTACTCCTGAAAAAATAATTTTATATATGGCCAAATTTGAGAACTATACCTTTGATGTCTTTTGATTCACTTTACAAGTTCACAAGTTTCTGAGAAGAAATGGACCTAACCCACAACAAATCCAGTTGAATAATGAATAAAAAACCTATTCACATAAAAGCGCAGTAAAGTGAGGTTCAGTTAAATGAAGAAAGCAAGGCGGGATTCAGGTGATCAGCCACTCAGGATACGCCATGCATTCGACTTCTAGTCACAGTCATCGTGAATAGGCCTAACACCAAGTATTGGTTCAAGGAACTCCTCGTCAGAGAGGAGGTGTTAAATGCATGGACGGAATTCAATCTATTTGATCATAGAAAGACTCCCGTGACCTACATGTCCTGCGGCGCAAGCAACCTCAAAATTATTGTTTGAGGTTTTTTTTTCTAACCTTATTAGCTCTCATGAATTTATCGTCCACGTCTATCAAAGATGCCCGGTAACCGAATCTACACATGGCCCAGGTCACGTACCTGCCGTGCTGATGGGAGGGTGAGAAGTTCTGCAAAAATACGACCTCACTTCAAAAACTGCTTCCTCTCCATAACCCTTGCCCCTTCCAGATCCTGTCTAACGGCAACTTCCAACTCTTTCCAGCTCTCTAAACCCTCCCTTCGGAAGTTCCTTTTCAAAATCTTCTCAGTTTTATCCCGGAAAACGTCTTGAGACGGGGAGTGAACGGGAAAAAGCTACTTACCGAAAAACTTGTTCTCGAAGGGCAACACGATTCCCTCCAGCCGACCAAAAGAAGTTTTCACCGACTTGAGGATCCCTGACGTGCCGTGCATGTGATGTGCCATGACCAGAGCACGCCATGGCCTGTTCTCCTACAACATGACTCCTTCCATTCATAGTGCCTGCACTTGCAGTAACCAACAAAATAGACCAACTACAGCTCCCTCTCTTCTTCTTAATGTCTGCTCCCGGTTACTCTACACCTCCGAAATGACTCAGTTCCCTCTCGGTTTTCGAACTCACATGATCTTCTTAGAAAGCGAACCCCTGGGCTACAGGTGCAACATTCTCGGCAAAAAATGCTGAACTTTCGAAAAGGCTTACTTTAAACAAGAAAAATTCCAAAAAAGACTGGAAAAAACTTGCCAATAGGATGATTTATGTACGGTGTACCCGCATGATCCTTGCGCTTCTGGTGACGATGCCGTCTGGCAGCAAAGTCCGTCGCCTTAACAACCAAGGCCAAATCTTCGGGTCCGTGATCCATGAAGGTTTTCGTGGACGACGACTGGGATTTGCTTTCGTGAATATCGGGATATAAGCTATTGCCGTTACAGTTTTCAGTGCTCATTTTCAGATTACGGTAAGTATGCGACAGTGCCTGAAAGTGCTACTTCATTATCACGCATTACCTGTACTAAGGTCAAACAAGAGAGGAGGAAAGGGATCGGCATGAGGATGAATGAGAATAATAAGGATCATCGGAGGAATGACCTGAATAAAGGCGGCTGAAAGCGCGATCGACCGATTTTCGCCGATCGATGGCCGATCTGGACAGGTTTCTAAGGTGATGTGACTGGTGCAATTACTTCTACACCATGCAACAGTCCCTGATTGGATGATGGCAAGCATTACAGCATCACACGAACAGGCTTGTCCCTTCAATACTTCAGCCCCTCTTAGCCTTAACCCTGAAACCCCATCGTTTTCTGAGGGAACACGGAACTACACGGAAAACCACCAGAAGAAATCTACAGAGAGTATGAAAAGCTTTATCTGATGATCAGGCTGCAAAAAAGCAACCTCGTGGTCGCGGAGACGCCACGCGTACGACTTTCAGCTTCGAATTTCCGGCGCGACCAAACCCTAGCATAAGATATACGAACGAC